GAAGACAATTAAAAACCTTCATCAGCATTTTATCAATCATATCACTGATAAATGTTGAGGTTAATTTACCTTTTTCTTCTGGTGGATTTTTCTCTTCCGTTGCAGTGACAGCAGTTAATACTAAACAGAGTTCCTTATTTGTCAGACCATCTTTTAGTATTCTCGCATAGGTCTGCCCCTGAAAAATCAATCAAGTCATCAGTCAAGAAGACCTCGATTCCCCTCGCCTTTTGTCAGTCAAATCTCTGCTCTTTTAATTTTTACTACAGAGTAATGCAGGAGCAACAGCGTGGTCGCCTGTAAACTTTACTAACAGAGTCTGAAATTGACCAAAAGCCACAAAACTAAATGTGATGAAGAAGGGTGAATGAAACCGAGGGCAGCGTGATGTCTGTTGTCTGCGTTGACACTCTTCTCCTCTTAGACCATGTCAGGGAAACAGAGCGCTGTCATGACAGACAACACCTTTTCAGCCCTCCTGTTTCAGAGGTCTAAAGGGTCGACTTGTCAGTCCAACAGGGACATAGAAGAATATGTCAGTCAGGTCTATAAATGTCATCCAGTCGCCTGGCTGAATGGACTCCAGCAACTGCTTTACTGTCAACATGCGAAAAGGTATCTGCGCTATAGTTTAAAGGAGTTTAGTGTGGCGCTGAAACAAATCTTTGTGTTAACAGCCAAATCTGAATGGACTGACAAAATCCTGAGTCAGGTACGGCCCTGTACAAGGAAATATAATTAATATAGAGTACTCAAACCCACCATAATTCTATCTGGATCAGAATCAATAAGTCTGGGCGCAGTGTATACAATGTCCTGTTTTTGGAAATCCACATATAAAATCTCCTCATTATCAAACTCAAACAGGACCTCAGTTGTACCATTCACAAAGCAGCCCACAACAGTGACAAATTCATGGGGAACTGAAAAACAACACAAGAGAAATAAAATCAGTCACATGTTGGAAAAAGTTAAAGCTTTTAATAATGTTTGTGGTTTGTTTCAGGCACTGACAAACAGACAAACATAGTAATACATAAACAATACAACAATATATTTTTATGTTTACATAAAAATACTATCAATGTTAGAATCTTACTTTGTGAGAAAGCACAGAAGCTGTTGAGCATCAGGATTATGAGAGCAGAGCGCTGCATGTCGCAGTAGATCTTCATGGTTCAAACTCTCAGTCTGAATGGAGCAGTTTCATCTGTTACCAATGAGGAAGCAAATACAATCACATGACCAGATCAGGTGGAAAACATGGGCAAAGTAAAAAAGTAACCGGAGAAAAGTTTAAGTTAATTATAGTTAAACTGTACCAAAAGGATCAGATTGAAATAAATCTCAAATAAATCACTTTGTAGAGAGTTTGTTCTGTGTAAATGTGGGTGTTAAAGCAGCTGTCTGACCTGTTTCGCCAAGACATGCATCAAAGACATAAATTTTCCATCACAAGAGTTTCCAACATCTTTTTCCAAAGCACAAACAACTACAAAATGTCAAGAATGATGAAGGAAGTATTTCCATTGTGGTCTCTGGAGTAAAAATAAAGATGTAAAGTAAAGATGAGTTTGGCTTACATTTTTCTACCAGCAAATGAAAGCAATAAATACCAGTTATCATCAGTAAAATCACTGAAGTAGAACAAGGAAAGATCATTTATGAACAAGACAGTGTGAGCTAAATGCTACTTCCCTTCTCTTTGCATGCAATCTCTCTATGTAGTACCAGGTTTAGAGGAAGTACTCAGATCCTTTATATTTAATCAAAAGTAGCAGTGTATTAATGTAAAAACACTGCTACTTCTGCATTCTGCATTAAAAGGTTTTAAAGACCCACAAGTCATGCTGTGCCATCAGTTTGCACCTTGCATGGCAGCCTCTGCCCTCATCATCCACCATGTGAGTGGGTGAATGAGGTCAGAGAATGTCATTACTTTTGTAGGTATTTGGTCTTAAAACAATGTGTTAGACAATTTTGACCTGATGGTTGTGGTACTAAAGTCAGATGATCAGTGAAGTGATTACAGTTTATCTTGAGGGGAGCTTCAGTTTCATAGCAATCCATCCAACAGCTGTGAAGATATAAACCAATATTATATTTTGGAAAAAGCCAAATGGTGGTAGAGGAAATGTAGGGAGGATTCGTCCTCTGGGAACAATGAATTCTGAACGGTTTCTGTACAAAACTTCATGGAAATCCATCTAATCATTCATCATTGAGCTGTTTCATCTCAAATAATGGAGAAAAATCTAAATTGGTCAACCTGGTCATTAACCATCATTAGTGTCATTGGAAACACATGTGTTTACTTGACTATTTAATGTCAAAATGACTGCGGTGGGGAGAGTGACACTTTGTGCCAATTAAGCTTGAGATCCTGGTACCATTTTGTGTCTAAGTAACACAATAGGTATTTGCTTTTGGCCCCCTATGAAGTTTCAGTTTCGGTCCACCAAGGGAAAAAGTTTGAACAGCCCCAGTCTATACTGTAGACTGTTAACAGTGACGAATGTGAAATAGTCATTGTTATACATTCCTGGACTGAAAATGTAAACTTATTACAGTTACAGGAAAAAAAAAACAGACAAAATCAGATTACAGTTACATTTAGTAATATATACTTAGTAAGTATACTCTGAGCAGAGGACCATTTTATTTTCAAAGGTCACATTGTTCTGGTGTCTTATTAAAAATACACGTGCATCAATACTTCTTATTGACATTTATTTTTTTCTCTTATTTTTATTTACATATTTAATGTTGAGGTGATTCAGTAGTCATGAAAAGTGATCAAGTTATATTACTTTAATTTTGTGATACTTGGATTAGGTTACTGACTACATTTTTAAAAGGGAATTTAGTAATTGTATCAGATAACATCCATAATGCATAATTTTGAACCAAAAATGAAGTTTGTAACTTAGTGAGAAATCACAACCAGAATCACTTTTATTGACCAGGTTTGTGCACACATAAAGGGCATTTCACTCAATGTACACAGAAAAGCATAAATAAACAGGACAACAAGCTATATATATATATATTCAAATGTACCTTGTCTACATTTGTAGACAGTACAGAGTGCAAAGGATGCTGAAATAAATATATACGTGCAGGTGTTTTTATGTAGACTACATGAGATATAGGTATATGACAGTATATACAATATGCACAGCATGCATATGTGATTGAATCATTGTATTGATGTTTTATTATTATTATTTAAATGAATAGTAAATAGTGAGGTTACTGCACTGTGTCAGAGTGATGGCCTGTGGGTAAAACGACACAGACAACAACAAGCTGTAGGAAACCTTCCACCATTCGTCCGGCAGGTGGCGCCGGAGGTCCGCGGATGGTAGCGGTGCTGCTGGTGGAAGAAGCCGCCTGTTGGTGCTGTTCTGGGGCATGTGGCTCAGAGGAATGGGGCCGTCTTCCTCTCTGACCCTGGCCCGTCGATGAGAGAGAAAAAAAAAAAGAAAAAAAAAAAGGAAAAGCCCGACCGACCGAGCGGCAGCAGTAGGGCTGGGGATGCACAACGGGGCAGGAGAAACACGGCTTTACAGGCGATATATCAGGAATGCTGATGCCGCTAAACATGGAGTATCGCCTCGTTTGCGGAGTAAAGCGAGTGTCCGTTGCTGTGTCCGTTGAGTGAGTTCGTTAGAGCCAGACGTTACTTTCCGTTGTTTAACCGTTGATACATCTGCAATGATGCGGGCTGTGGACGGGAGCGGAACCGCTGCGATTGTACTCTGCCTTTTGGGATCCCTTGTGTCCAAAGCTGTCAGCAAAACATTACCGGAGGACACAGCCACAGAAGGTAAACAAGATTAAAAAAATAAATAAAAAAGTGCTTTTAAAACATTTTTATTTTGCTTTGTTTTTTTTTGTTTTTTTTTTTTATATCAAACCAACGGCTAGTTAGCGGCTAACGCAGCCGTTAGCCTGCTCGGATGCTGATGTGACCTAAAGTTAGCTCTCGTTAGCAAGTTAGCTGGTGGCAAACTTCTCTCAAATGTGTTGTTTTACTGCCTGGTTTTTATGTCCTTTCAAACTAAACCATTCCCCAGCCTGGTGTAGTCATACATGTGTAGTTTGTCAGTGGCAGTGGGTGTAAAACATGCCCTCATATTGTCCACAATAATGCAGCAGAGGGGGAGTCCAGCTGCTGTGATTTGTCATTTTTTTTTTATCCATCGTCGCTTCATTTGAGAAAACACCCAACAACATGTCACGACAACAACAGTGCCACAGCATTAAGAGTCAGTGAACCTACGTTTAATACAATAAAACACGAGAGGAGGAGTTGTTTAAAACTTGCTGTGTGTGTTTAGTGTGTACATGTAAGCAAGAAGTGATCATTAAACAAACTAACTTTGAGTTTCATGAGAAGGGAGAGACCACATTGTTCAGGTGTTTACTGAAAAGTTTTATGAATACCAACAAGCTCAAACTTTATACTTAGACCTTTTGTGGTAGAGCTACAACAAATTGTTATTTTCTTGACTAAGCAAGTAATCAGTTTGTCTGTAAAATGTCACAGCAGCACTAAATCCAAATGTTTCAGTTTATTATCATAAAAACAGTAAATGTTTACATTTAATAAAGGGGGAACCACTTCATTTTTGTCATTTATGGCTTTTAAAAATGACTTAAATGATGAATCGGTTATTGAATTTTTAGTAGATACATTTTTATACCGATTTACTTCTGCTCAACTTTACTTTAGTTACTGAAGATAAACTTTATTGATCTTAAACAGGGAAAGTATAGGAACATATGCATAGTGACTTAAAGAGTACTGTATACATTGTGATCATCTAATATACATAGAATTAAGGATGAAAACCTAAAATAAAAGGTAATAAACGAGTGATTAGTCGATCGTCTGCAAGTCTTTGTCTTACGCGAGAAAACTTTTTCAAAAATACAAATATTAATTGAGAAAATACTAGTCTGATTAATTGATATTGAAAGTAATTTTCAGCCCTACTAAATATTTCACCAGTAATACATTTACAGCAAAGTGTTTTGTGGGTAGAAGTTGTCGTTATTAATGATTAAATTGTACTTTAGGTAATGAAATCCGGTAGTAGGTGAAGTCTCTGCCTTTACCGGGGGTGTGTTGGGTGAATGATCTCCCTTCAGTGTCACAGGTATCCCGTCACTACAGCAGCAGCGGGAAAGAAAGCTATCGGGAGTCACGATAATCTGTTGGCATCTCATTCAGTCGCTGACATCAAAGCTGCCCCGTCACAGAAACTATAAAGTGGAGCCACATCTGTTTTATCCATCACGTTTATCTCACACACACACACACACACACACATCACCGTCGTCAGTGTTGGCTTACATCTCTGGCTGGCCTACGTTCGTACATTCGGGGCCCCCTCACTACAACTGTGTTTAAAGTAGAAGTATGAATGTAAACACACAGTAACTATTGCTGTAAGTCCGTCGGGCTGTGGAGAAGTGAATGCAACGCTCAGCACAGGTTTGTCTCAGACTTGTAACAGAGTAAGACCCTGATATTTTATGATTTTATGGTCAGTTCAGGAGTTTGTGAAGTTTTCTGCACCATGAATCGGCTAAATTCACAACAAGCTCCGGGTAAGAGCAAGGTTTAATTCCTCTGATAATTCACAAGATTGCGGCGCTTTGAAGTCCGTCCCGGCCTCCGTCTGCTCTCTGTTTCCCCCTTTTCTTTCTCACTCTCTCTCTCTGGTGTTCACTTTGCCTCAGATTGACCTTCACTCGTCCCCGGGGGGGTTTGTTCAGGTCGATACCGAGGACTTCTCCTGCTCTGTCCAGCAGACAACATGGATGAGTGGAGCCAGACAGACAATCTCCCCGCAGATATAGATCTCACTCACATTACTGCTGCCCATAATAGGCATGGCGTTGCATCTGCAGCAGGCAAACATTCGCTGAAGCTGGACGAGCGCTGCCAGGAAGTAAACCAATCAAATCATATTGTCACCAGCTATCCAAGCTTAATTTTAATCACGAGATGCTGGTGTGAGTGCTAACAGTGGAGGGGGGGACACATCAGGTCACTAGTTAGGGAGGGGGTCAGTGTATAAAGTATGTAGACTGGAGTATTTGTGACGTGCAGCGGGAGCCAGCGAAGTCGTGAGCAGATGAGGAGAAAGTGAGCCACGTTTGTACTTTGGGTCACGACAGAAGGGCTTCTTTTAACGCCGTCCGTCCGCACCTTCACACGTAACTCTCGCCACACACTTCAGGCGAGCGGGCGATGTAAAAGGTGCTTGAAGTCTGAGGTCACGTTACCTGGGTCTGGTTTTAGGGTAGCGCAGATGTGAGTGGCCCAAATGAGACTGAACAAGATCAGATTTCATGTGATTTCTGCTGTTCACTGGTAAGAAAAGGTCCCATATGCAAACAAACAATCTGATTGTGCCACTTGTGCCGTCTGAACAGAGTAGCTGAGTCCCCTGCTGAGTTAATGGGACGGTCCCACAACGTCTAATCTTACTTTTAATCCAGATTAACACACCTATTGAAAGCCAGTTTCTTTTCTTAATGGCAGAGTTTTAGTGTGTGTGTGTGTTTTGAACGGTGCTTTGATTTGTTTGTGTGCTGCCACATGTGTCATGTTGTGACACGTTTTTCCCCTTTTTCCTGGTTGGTGATTCATCTTTAATCTCTCTGACCTTTAGCGTGTTTCCCGCTTTTGTTCCCACAACATCTTTAGACGTTATTATTATTTTTCACCACGCCGAGAATCAGATGTTTGTTATTTATCTGAATGGTAAACAAATAGCTTGAATCTTGGTGTTTTTCTTTTGCTGTGGTTAAACAAGTTATTACATCCAGAAACACAAACAGCAGCTCTGTCGGGGCTTGACATTAAAATGACATGCATTGGTGTAGTTTTTATAGACGGGAGTCTTTAACGGCGGCTTGTATTGCCTTCAAAATAAAAGTTATTAAAATATATATCTATGATAAAATGCTTTACTGTTGATTTGTATTTTTTATTTATGATTTAAAACAACTTGCCGATGTTTTAGACTCTGAGACAAGAGCTCTCGTGCTCCTGTCACATGATTTCTGGCTCCTCTTGTACTCAACCATGTGCTCCTGCTGCAGACGCTGAAAGAAATCTGTTGTTGCCCCGTTTCGCTGTTACAGTCCTTTTAATTTGTTGAAGATTTGACCTCTTGTAACCAAACCAGTTACACCGTTACTGAGTATCCTCTCCAGTGCGGTGCTATTAAATCATTGCAGAAGAAGAAGGTGAGAGATGATGTAATTAAACGAGCGCCATCAACCCTCAAATATATAATAAATATAATAAATAATCAAAATGATTTGTTTTCCCTGACATCCCTCTGAGCTCCAGTAACGTGACGAGCAGTGCGTGCTGGCGTTGTGTACAAGCAAGCTCCGCGCTCTGCCTCGTGTGCACGGAGCATCTGTTTCCCCCTTCTCTGTTTGGAAGAACACCAAACCCCTTCACACACCCAGCGGAGGACAGACATACCAGGCATTTCCAGTTTATCACACCTCACTCTTCTGGTGCAGGAGGGCTTTTTTTAACTTCTGATTAATACACCAAAACACGCGTTAATTAAAACTGTAGTGGGCTGAAAAATGTGCACACAGTCCTGCTCTCCTCTCGGGTTTACCTCTTTCTACACACACACGCACACGCACACACACACACACACACACACCCTGCTGCTTTGGCTGCTGTTGCCTGAGATAATTGGTCTGAGATTTCAGCGTTGGTCAGGCAAACTCTCTTTGATACCTTTATCCTCCATATGGTACTAAGACACAGATAAGGAGTCGGTTATAGAGCTACTGGTTCAGCTGCACAGTCGAGGTCTTCGGTCATTGTTCATCTTCTTCCTCGCAGCAGAAAGGCGACTCCTAGCTTGTTTAACAATGATGCCACCACAGTGGTGATTTATTGGATGAGGATTGGGAGGGGACTGTTGCATTTGTCAGTCTGGAGTCTTCCCAGGGGAGTTCTCTTAAAGTGAGCACAGCTGGTACCCCTGACAACATATCACTGGGAGTGGGGCAGGAAGTGAGGTCACGATCTCTCTCTCAACACACACAAAATCTTAACGCAAGTGGGGGAAAAAAGTGTGTGTAACGAAGTGAAGGGTCAGAGAGCAGATCTTCACACCAGACCTCTCAGGATAATGATGTGTTCGGTTTGAGGTTGACACGTTGCTCTGCCAAAACACCGTAACTTCCACCAGCGCAGAGGTATCGTTTGGTGCAGCGCTCTGTTTTTAGGTGGAGCCTGCACTCGGGCTGAACTCTTACCAGACTGTCAGAGCGGTTCCTCACTGACCGCAGGATCCCTGAGTGGGGGGAGGGTAGAGTAGTCTAGCCAGGAGTGTGTGTTACTGTGCGTGTGTGTGTGTGTGTG